AGAGAGAGAGAGAGAGAGAGAGAGAGAGAGAGAGAGAGAGAGAGAGAGAGAGTGTCCAGTAGGTGGCAGTAAATGCATTTATAATTAAACTTATAATTAAACCTAAGAAGAGAAGTTTCTCAACTATTGCCAGATTATTCCTCCAAATTTTGTCCTGGTGTTGTTTCTGTCTGTACTGTGTTGTTTTATTTTTGAATTTCATTTATTCAAAACCTTGAAAGTTATCATCTGTTTGACTGCATATTTGGGGTCTACCTTCAAGTCGCACACATAAACCAAATTACTACTGTTATCAGTTTCACACAACAGGATTATTCCAGCTGAAAGTTTAGAGAAGATAAGTTAAGATAAGATACTTTATAGTTCCTTAGGCAAAGTACAGTGACTGCAAGACATACAAACACATTACAATAAGACAGGAAGTGTCACAGTGCAGACAAATCTCAACGACAGCAGAACTAAAACATGGCATCTGAAATGAAGAACAATAAAAGTGCACCAAAACTAAGAACAATTGCAATAAAAAATTGAAACATTCCTGCTGCAAGTGGTGCTACAGCTTGCTGCTACTGCTAGATGCACTTTGTAAATAACCACGGTGAGTGATGGAAAGTTTGATGGGGTTCAAACCATAGGTAAATATTAGAGATTGTAGGTTTTTTTTTTTTTTTTTGATGTGCAAACTGGACACATTCAAAGAGCTATCTATAACAGGTAAGGTATTGATTGTTCATAACTTTACACCTAGAACCCAACTTCAACAACAACAAAAAATCTACACTTTAATTATTCAAGTTAATAATTATTCAAGTTAATAATTATTCAAGTTAAATTTAGTTCTGTTCTTCCGGACCGCGCTGAAGTCTACAATCTCGTCTCCTTCTTCCATAAATAGAAACAGGGTTTGACTCGCTCTTCCTGAATTTCCAACCCTTTGTCCTGAGGTGTTTGGAACAACAAAGCAGAGGCGGGTCTTTGTCAGCAGCAGCGTTTCCCAACGTCAATCTGTGTTGGCCAATAAAACTCAACAGAAGGTTCCAGTCCTGCTCCCAGTCCGAGAAACTGCTGTTTGAGTCCCCCACTGGGGGGTGCCACAGAGAAGAGCCGGCTCCGAGGCAGGAAATGTCTCTGCTGCTGTTGGAGCCATGAGGTCCGTCCTGCTGATCATACTACTAACCATGGGGACCGACGGGTCCCGAGTCAGAGGAGGACCGGGATACTCGGACCTGGTTCTAGATCTGGACCTGTCGGCGGTGCTTCGCCGGGTGGATCAGCGCTTCCTGTCCGTCACCATCGACGCCAGTCTGGCCTCAGATGAGAGGTTCATGCTCCTGCTGAGGTGAGAGGCGCGTAAAATCAGCTGGAACTCTGCGCCAAAACATCTGGATCATCCAGGGTCAGGTGTGGGATCCGAGAGTAGGC